GGTTCTTCCTTACCTGCGTCTAATCTGGTTGCTACAGCTCCAGCAGCACATTGCTGATTCGGAGTGGGGCTTTATCATGGCGACAGAAAGCTGCGAGAGTCGATTGAGAAGGCAGCCAAGAAGCGCGCCGATCAGACGGCGACCAGAAGCTAAAGCGCGTCGATTGGCTTGGGGGGAAACACGATCTTCAAGGGTCTGGACAGGATGGACGATTTTGCAGAGCTTCGGCTGCTGAATGGCATCGAGCCTTGTAACGAACCTGGGTTGTTAAGCTCGGGTCTTCGTGAGGATATGACTTTAATATGTATCTCTTTATCTGTACAGCTGTAACGTTAGACTTCATTTTTGGAAGAGGCAAAGTCTTTGTTGTGGTGGATGTCTTTCGAAAGGTGATCGATTGATCATGATCGCCCGACCGTTTTCAATTTTTTTTCTTCTCGCCAATTTCATCCAACATGGTTTCCTTCCAGTTCGTTGCTTGCAACCTCCCAGGTTTCCAAGTTGATGTTTCATTGTAGATGCCATGCCTGCCAGGACACTGTAAAAACCAAAGCTCGACCAGCATTACAACCGCTGCTACGCCGGCTTTGACTGCATTGATTGCTCTAAGACGTTCAACTCACCCGCAGAATACAAGGGGCACACCCAATGCATCAGCGAGGCTGAAAAATACGAGAAGAGCGTCTACAAGGGGCCTAAAACTGCTGTATGTCCGCCGCTATCCGAGACATGAAAAGAACTTGATGTAGCATTGAAGGCAGACGGGAAGAGCACGTATCCGGCACGGCCGCCAGCACCGCAGAACATGGTGCGCAATTGGACTATGGGTGGGCGCGGAGGACGCGGTGGGGGGCGAGGAGGAGGAGGATGGGGTGCAGCGCGGTCTTCGGCAACTGGTGCGAATGATACACCACTAGGGACGCCGACACGGACGTCGCCCCCGATACCTGCCGTGCCCGCGGCCGCTCCTCCCGATGTCACCGAGCCACCTCAAAAAGCCGTCGAGGCAGCGCCGGAACCCGTTCCAAAAAAGGACAAGAAAGAGAAAAAAGCCGAGAAGGAAAAGGCAAAATTAGAGTTGAAGGAGAAGAAAGCCAAAGAGAAGCAAGAGAAACGGGATAAGAAAAAAGCAGCGGCTGCGGAGACGGTAATTTTGCCAATTATTCGCGGTTTCTGTTACTCATCGCGACGTTAGCCCGCTGCAGAGCCCACTGCCGCCGAAAAGGATGGCGAGACGAAGACTCGCAAGGCGCTACGGCAAGAGACCGCAGAACTCAAGAAGGCTGAAAAACGGGCTGCCAAGGTGAGCGGTAGCGGCAGCGATGCACCGGAGCCGCCTGCTACACCGGAAGAGTCTACGACACCGAAAAAGCGGAAACACGACGAGATCGCTGTCGACGCGCCGTCAATACCGGATGCCGAACCCGTTGAGAAGAAACGCAAGAAGGATAAAAAGGACAAGAAAGCGAAACAAGCAGCGGTCGAAGAGGCTGCGGCAATGGAGGAGGTTGACGCAACTCCCCGAGCTTCAGAGAAGAAGCGGAAAAGGAGCAAGAGCGGCAGTGAGGGGGGAATGGACGACGTAGCCCCATCGATACCAGTCGACGAGTCGGCCGATAAGAAGCGGAAAAAGGACAAGAAGACGAAAGGCGATGCGGCGATTGAGCCTTCAGAGGGAGAACCGCCGTTAGACAAGAAGCGGAAAGACAAAAAGTTGCTTCCGTGTTAGTTCTGTTAGTTCTGCTATGGATGTCGTCTCAAAGGAAAAAAGTAGTGACACAGCATGGTTTCTCTAAGTACAGTACATATATTTCTGGCTTCAGTGAGGGTATAATCCACGCGCTCTGTTGCGCAATCAGAACGACGTCGTCGAATCAACTTCAATGGTCGGCACGATAGACGCGATGAACTTGAGGAACACGACGAGGTAGAAGTCAACCCGCATGCCCTCGACGTCGTCGTCCCCCTCGGCCGCACCCGCTGCCGCTCCCTTGTCATCCTTCCCATTACCGCTGTTCTTGCGGCCGAACCACTTCTTCTTGCCGTCCTTCGAGGTCGCCTTGCGCTGCGCAAGCTGCTCCGCGACGACGCTACTGTTCATGCGTTCGATGACCTTCTTCATGACACTCGCATGTTTGCAGGGATGGACGGATGCAGCCTGCAGCGAAACGGAGTGCGGGAATGGCTCAATGGTGACGGTCTTGAAGGCATAGTCGGCGGAAATGTCTTGGAAGATTTGGGGCGGCGTCAGAGGCGTGCGGTTCTTGAACGAAAAGTCAGGCTCATGGGAGGGAAACCTGAGGCGGAGGAATCTGACCTCATCGTAGCCGAGCAGCCAGATACGGGGAGTCTGGTAGTACTTATCGTAGGTTATCATGACGTCGTACGTCCGCACTTGCAGAAGATTTCCGTTCGCAACTTGCACTTGGCTGGGATAATCATTAAACGGGTACGAGGTCGGATAAATCATTCATACCTAGCGTCAATAACGCCAGCCTTTGGCGCAGCAGTAGCTTCATCCTCTTCCTCCTCCAGACCTTCCTCTTCCATATCGGGGATATCGTCTAGATCGGGGGTCTCGTCGCCGCCCGCCAAAGAGAGGTTGCCGACACCCTGGGTAACGGAGGTTTCCGGTGCGGCGTCTAGGTCGGGAATGTCATCGATGTTGCCTGGATTGGAGGAATCCAGGTTCGCCTTGCGGCCAGCATGAGTTTCGACCCAGTCGTCGGCCCCAGAGTCACCAAACGACAGCATGCGTTCGGCATCCTCGTCGGCGTCCGTGTAAGCGAGCGATGTTGCTCGGCGCAGGCAAGGAACCCCTCGGGTAACAAGATATTGCTTGTCTGCGGGGAGGTAATCTTTGGCCTTAGATGGGTCGCCCGCTTCCCTGAGGCGCGGATAGCATGAGCTGCTGGTTGCCTCGTGCAAGGAGGGTCACTGACCAAGTCCATACTGGGAACTTGTAGGCCAGAAAGTCCCCTGCGGCTAGAAACTCCTCTGCAGAACGTCAGCCACAAATGGTTTATTCAATTGACGGGCAGACCGGGTGTGATACGGCCATGCTCTTTAAACTTGCTCTCTTTGAGAACCTGGACAAGAGGATGATTAGTGGACGATGGAAGCACCTTTGGCTGCTTACAGGGCTTAGGTATTCTCGAACGGACCAGAATTGTTGCTACAGATGAATGAGTAAAAGAATTCCCCAATGGCGAGAACGTAGACCTGAATGGCGTGCATTTGAGAGCAAGAACCAAAGAGTCAGACTTCCACATCCAATCGATTATTGTCCACCAGCACAGCCACCTGCCAGCGGCAGCGTCGCATGTTCAAATTGCCAATTGAAGTTCAACACGGCGTCTCGTCGGGGACCGCCCAAATGCGACACTCTCAGGCTCAGACTCGCGTAGCGAGTTGCGACACACTCACCAAAACCCTCCCAGTCTGGTGCACGCCAAGCGAGATGCGACACTCTCGCGCGCGTAAGTACTACTAGTACGCAAGACATTGCCGAGGTTGCCGAACAAATGTTGAAGTTTACCAGGCGTCTCTGCGTATGTGGTTCAAGGTCTATTTTTTTGGGATGTACGGGTTCAAGGTCTATTCAAAGGTTCTTGTAGTATAATTACTACGTGACAGAATCGAGAGAACTAATTATAATCGAATGAGTCTCTATGCGTCCTCACAGCTTACACCCCGAGGAGTAAGTACGGGAACCGCTACAGGGCGCGCTCCCAATCCCCCGCCCAACGCGGCGATCCACAAGATATGTGCGAGAAAAAATGGGCGTGGACGCACTTATTGCTCCGTGTTCAAACTCTATCCGAAACCGTTGTTCACTACATGATGGCGGCCATACGCAGCTGCGAATGGGCTGTATTCGAAGCGTGCCTCCTAGCCCATTGGATCTATGGCCAGCTGGTCAGTAATGCGATAGCTGGAGGGTAAAACTGGACGCACTTACGCTCCTGCCAGTGCTCGCTGATGCTTTGCAGCTTCTGTCCTTATTGGACGTTGGCCAAATGTCGGCGGCATCGGGCTCAAATTGGACTGCCTCTGTGGCGGCCCCGCGAACGGCTACTTCCAGCGCCAGGAGCGCACGGTCTTCGCGCAGGCCAGGAAGGAGATCTCCGCAACGGGCCCATGTCGAAGACGTCGCGGCCAGAGATGAGGACGGTCATGGGTGTGGAGGTGGACATGGATCGAGGTGTGGGGATGATGGTGGTACGGAAGAGGGAGGCATTTGCCATCACGCTGCCGCCGAGGCATCATGATGCATATGCCGGCAAGCGGGAAAGGCGGAGAGTGTCGCAACACGTCCTTCCAAGTCCAGTCTGGTGAGATTTCCGTGACAGTGTCGCAACTCCCACTAACTAACCGAGGAGTCTGAGTCTGAGAGTGTCGCTGTTAACACATCCCCCGTCTCGTCGAACCAAGCTACAGCCGTTTGCATGCTTTTATATTCGCGCTGCATGTGCCTGATGCCGAGTTGCCCATGCACAGAGGAGGCCGCCAAAGACTTCGGCATGCATCGGAGATGTGGCTTGCCATCGGGCCGGGTGCGGGAAGTTCACCAGTTAATGAAGGCGCGACAAAAAAATCGTGTTCACCTTGTGGAAACGATTGTAAGCTTGGGCCATGTCAGAGATACTCAAATTTACAGGCCCAATAGTCGAATGCTTCCGATGTTGAATGTGGTCCAATGGTGTAGTTGGTTATCCAAGGACCAACGGTGTAGTTGGTTATCTAGCCTGATGCGCAGGCTAATTCAAATTGAAATTGGAGGCTGTCAGCGTTGTCATGCGCGAAACAAAGCAGACGTTCTCTTGTCGCTCCAACTCGCTCGAGCCCTGGTTCGACTCAATGCATTTCCATGACATTTGCATCCTTTTACAAGGCAGATATCGGTCCGATGGTGTAGTTGGTTATCACTTCTGTCTAACACCTCGCACGTGCCACACAGGCGGTCCTCAGTTCGAACCTGGGTCGGATCATCTTTTTGCTCTTTCCTTGCGGCGCGATGAGAACGATGTAGCAGAGTCCAACCATAACGTCAAACGCAAGGATTCGATTCGATTCGTTGCTCATCAGCTCTTACCCTTCACAGGCAGTCCTCAGTTCGAACCTGGGTCGGATCAGCTTTTTAGCTGAATCTTCTTCCAGTAAAAATTCAATACAGTAAGTCCCTATGTGGCACATACTTTTTTCCCCACCATTTCAGACAAGATCCAGAGAAGACTCAATGCAACAACACATAAATTTGAAGTGTAGGAGCCAAAGTCGACGGCGTGGAATTCCCCCGGCTTCAAGCGAAGGTTCAAAAGTTGAGAACCTCTCCACGACGTAGTCCTCTACAGCAGGGCCCAGGTGCTATATGATATCTTGTTTAATATGAAATCTGGCGAGAGGTGGGAGTTGGTGAGTGAATACAAGTTCAAATAGGAAGCTGAAGACTTGTTGAAGTTGGTAATCACAATTATTCCACAAGCTGTCCATTTCATTCACTCCCTCGCTTTCCCTTTCACTGATCGCTCGTAGCCTGAATTGTTATCTGGATTGCTCCGGTCTTCTGTTTAAAATCAAACATTGACATTTTGGGGCCAATTCGATGCTGCGCCAGTGGCAGCCGCCGCTTCCAACAGTTCTGGGATATCGTCACTTCAAGACGAGATGAAGGAAGGTAGGTTGGCAGCGTGGTGGGCACAAATCTTATTTGAGACAGCAAAGTTCAACCGTGGGAACCGTGAGTTTTATTTGATGGAACGGAGCATTACGCGGCGACAAGCACACTACTGTACCAGGCAGGTAACAATTCCCCGTAGATCTCCGAAGAGGTTCGAACCCGTTATTTTTTGATATTGCCTGAGCAATAGGGGAAATTTCCGGTGTCAAGCGAGCGATCTGAGTCCTTACAGTAAATGAAACCACCAGGTGATGCATATGCCATATGGGAGTTGTATGAACCGAGAACAAAGACGACCGCGACATTCGTGACATGATGAAAATGCGGGTCTAGGTGAAAAGGGGACACAGGAGGAATTCTCCTAGTATCCTTAGATTATAACGATATAAAGTAGTAGTTAGTCAATCTTGTGCACCGTCCTCGATTGTTTCAACTTCTATGCAGCAACGAGGACAGCTCTGTATCGTATCTTCCCCTCGCGTAACCGCCTCATGCCCTCCTCGGCCCCACTCCTCGTCAGCGGGAACTGCTCAACGACCGGTGCGATGTGATTCCGTGCAGCGAAATCAAGCATCCGCCTGTGCACGGAGCGCGCCGCGACGGTGGTGCCCTGGATATTTATGCCCGCCAGGACAATTGACATCGTGGGGATGACGAGGTCGTTGAAGCTGATGGTGAGCGGATATATGGTGCTCTTGGGCTTCATGACGCTGAGGAATCTGGAGAATTGTCGCATCAATGAGCTGCGTGGGAAAAAAATTGGGCAACGTACGGTTTCCAATCGGGGAGGAAGCTCGTCGTGACCATGAGGTGGTCAAGCGGGGCAATGTCGAAACTCTCAACGCCTTTCGTGACATGAAATTCTGTTGCGCCGAGGTGCATTGCCTCCTCGCGTTTCGAGTCCGTGTTGGAGAAGACTACGACGCTCGCACCCATCTTTGCGAGGAACTGGATTGCGAGGTGACCCAGGCCGCCGATGCCTACGACACCGACACGCTGCGTGGGGCGAATGTTGTATGTCTCAATCACTTTGAAAATGGTCGCGCCGCCGCACATGAGGGGGGCTGCGTGTTCAGGTGCGAGGGCATCAGGCACTTTGAAGAGGAACGACGCGTCTCATATGGCGTGCGAGCCAAAGGAGCCCTGGTGGTGGTTGTGCATCCCGTAGTGTTCTCGGTTCGGACAATATTGGTCTTGGCCTGTGGAGAAAATCAGCCAAGAAATACAAGAGATTGAGGACCACGGCAGCATACCAAGTAAACATTGCTCGCACATGCCGCAAGTCTTATGCGTGAACCCCCAGCCCACGACATCGCCGACCTTGAACTGGGAGACACGATCGCCGATCTGCTCGACGGTGCCGACACCTTCGTGCCCGAGCACCATGTCAGCGTGCTTGAAGTGCTCGTCGGTGCCACATATTCCCGAGTGCGTAATTTTGACGAGGACCTCGTTCCCTTTAGGCCCGTCGTGGTACGTCTTGCTCTCGACAATACCCTCGTTGGCTGAGCCCTTGAATACCGTGAATTCGATGCTCATGTTTTTTGCTGGAATCGGAGAAGGTTGGAAGAAATTGAATGATCCTGCACGACAATTTTTGGACGCTTTTATAGCCATGCCCGACGACTGAGTACTGAGCCTACGGGAACATCTAGCATAGCCGACCGTCAGTGAAAGCGTAGTAGATTAGGGGCTGAGTAACGGAAAACAACCGGTCAACCGTTTGACTGAGCCACGTAAGGGGTTTGCTGAACAATGCCCGAATCGGTCCTGACTTATCCGCCGTGTGAGGACCGAAGTAGCTCTCTCTGAGTTGACTTGAGGTCAATATTAATATCGATAGGACCGTGTGGGCCACTGGGAAGGACGCTTCAAAACTTTTCAAGTAGATTTTTACAAGAAAACTGATGCAAGTTATTATTTCGATAAATAAAAAACGAATAGAATGAGCAGACGTACAAGCTGTTGAGATCACTAAACCCACCGGCCCCCTGGCCTGGTAACCCAAAGATAGGTTCTTGAGCTGCGGTGGCTGATAGATAGCCCGGGCTCTCCAGAATGGCTGATGACAAACATGATCCTGGATATGTTAGACATTGGGCTATGGGTATGGCGAACTGACATTTATCATCACGGTAGCATTGAGCACAAACTTGGGAACCGTTCCAGTGCGAATTTCGTCGTGACCAGCGAGCGGTTCTACCACGTCAGATCTGCAGCATAGACAATGGTGTACGCCCAATACGCCACCGATAGCTATAGCAGATATACAAAAACAGTGAGGAGAAGCAGGATCCTCAGCTGTTGACTTGGGCCTTCGATTTCGCGTGCCCCAGTGTTCGAGAATTTTGAACAATCCAGTCTGCAGAGGTCTTCAGACAAGTTCGTGCATCGCTTACTGCAGCGTCCGAGACTCCGAGTCGAGAGACAGAATAGAAAGGTGTATAATCCTGTCAGTGGGATCAACTTGAAGCACGCAAGTGCGAATCCGACAACGTTCAGGCCAAGGTTTGTTTTGGCACGACAACAAAGAGGGGATCGAGTTTGAGTTTGATTGTCTAGGGTAATCGTACCTGGCCTATTTAGACTACGCGACTGTGCTATACTACAGTGGTATGTAAGTATGTAGAGGGTTTTTAGGTAGCTACGAGCTGGTGGTATTTGTGAGACGATTCACACCGAAAAGGAAAAGTTTCTGTAGGGTTAGAAAGTCTATATGAAAGTAATAATATCTTTTTCAAAATTAATTTTACTAAAAGTACCATTTTCAAAATTCATGAAAGAGGACCCGAAAGTTGACACACCAAATAAAGTAAAATTTCAGCGCGGACTGAAATGTAAATTGATTTTTTGAGTATCACTACGCGTATCAGCCGCACTGTATTCGAGGGAAATCACCTAGCCTGAAACGTGAATAGAAATTGTAAGAATCAACTCGAGAATCAGCTACAAAGAAATGATAGGTATATTTGAGTCTGAAACTTAGCTTGATACTCACAAAATCAATGTGAATTTCAAGCCGCGCGAAACAAAGGAATTCAACGGCGCCGAAATGCCGGCTGAAAGATCTAATTTCAGCGCGCGTTTCTGCGCAGCTGAAATTGTGGGATTCAGCCGGGCCGAAACTGCCACTGAAAGAAAAGGTTTCAAAGGTGCTTTCAGCGTTGCCGAATCTTCTGATTTCGGCTACGCTGAAAGCACCATTGAAACCCTTTGTTTCAATGGTGCTTTCAGGCGTACTGAATGCACGCATTTCAGCCGCGCTGAAACTCGTGCTGAAATGGCGCAATTCTACGAACCTGCGGGTGCACCCAGGGGTACACTTGCAGGTTCACCCAGCAGGTCGTGCATAACATTTTTCAGACATTTATCATACTAAAGCTACGGCGACGAAAGATACAATAAGTACTGGAGCGAGAGTACGGCAAAGGTATGGCTACTGAAAAGGATGGAGCTGGACGGATTACTGACACGATGCGATACAGCTGGGAGGTGGGAGGGCGGGACTTGCGTTCCCTTGGCGGGCTCTTCCTCTCCCGCTCCCTATCCCTATCCCTATCCCGCTCCCTCTCCCCCATAGATTCAACAGAGACAGCAGCGGCAACGGCACCCCGGCGCGCAAAAGCCCCCGCATGCGAAAAGTCGCGCGGTAGGTCCTCCTCTTCGTACCCGTCCCCATCTTCGGGGGTGGCGGTGGCGCGCGCGAAGGGCGTCTGTGGCCAGCACGGCGGGGGGCGGGTGCGGTGGCGCAGGGGGGAGGTGCCGTGGGGCTGGGTGTGGGGCGGCGCGGATGGGGGGGTATTATACGCATACGCATACGGAGCAGGGGAGTAGTAGGAAGAGGAGGGGGCATTTGGTACGCAGGGTAGTAGCCGTAGGGGTTATGGTCGAATCTCATCCTGCCGAGATGAGCCTCGTGGCCCTGAAGATCGCAGAGTACCGCAACACGACGACCTGGGAGGACGACGTCGTCGGGAGGTTCACGCTCCGGGCGCGGTGCAGCCTCACGCGCCTCGCGCTACACTTCGTGTTTGAGGGTTTCTGTACACCGTGGTGCGGATCCTTGATTCGCGCTGAGGCTGCGCTGCGCTGGAAGCAGCTGCCGTAGGACGATGCGGGGAGTGGGACGACGTTGGGCCGCTGATGGACTACCTGACGCACCGTACCGCCGTCTGCCAGCCTCCCGAACCTCCGGACGATTTGCTTCGATGCGGCGCCCGAGAGCGTGCGCTGGTGGTATCGTGTGCGCGCTGCAGGACGTGGCGCTGTACGCAGAGCAGTCGACTCGTGCGAGGCGTTTCAGGCGGACAA